TCTTACAACCACAGGTGGTTGCCCAGGAGAGTGACAGGCTGTCACTCAGGAAGCCGCTGCCCCAGGCTGAGCAGGAAGGAATGAGGAATTGGAGAAAAGGAAGTGGACTTGCAAGTTACTGGAGAAGGGAGCTGAGAGGACTGAGGGGTTTGAAGGGGATAGAGGAGCAGCAGTAAAAGGGAAGCAGCCAGGAGCTGGGCAGGCTGGGGTCTGAAATCTGAGCCACAGTCAAGCCTCCGAGTCATCCCTCCCCACCCAGGCTCACGTCCAAAGGCTCCATGCACCTAACCTGATATGCCCTCCCTCTCCAACCCCTGCTCTTAGCTCCTTCCACTGTCCTCATTGATTGTCATCCGCAAAGTCCCCTGAGCCTCAGCCTCTTCCTGGACACATATTCACCTCTTGCCTTCAATGAGGTCAGTTCTTCATCTCTTCCATGTACCAGAGGCCCGAAACAGAAATGAGGGGGTCTCAGATCCATGGCTAAAGGAGTAGATGGACTGGGACGGGAGGAGTGACGGACAGGAAGAGACAATGGGCCAGGGAGCGATGGCCCGTGTGTGTGTGTGTGTGTGTGTGTGTGTGTGTCTAGAGATGATGTAGTGAGGAAGAGGAGCTTGGAAAGGTCTGGGATTTTGAAAGAATAGAAGAAGTGGTCTGGACAGAGCGGGCAGGACGAGGAGGGGTGTCCTGGAAACCTGTCATCGTGCTGGCCAGCTTGCTCTGCCACCCCTGCTCAAGTGCCCCACACAACCTCCACCTCGGCCGCCAACTCCATTCAGTATGCCCCAAGAGAGCAGAAATGATCAGAGAATGTGTCCCCAGGCTTCCTTACCAAACATACCCTTGTACTCGGCTCTCTCTCTCATTACAAAGGATGAGCTGCCCCTGTGGACCCCTCTACCCTCTACTGGTAAGCTAGATCCCAGCCCCTTATCCACGCAAGGACTTTGCTGGTTCAACCCTCCTCTCTCTCCTGCATTGTCAAAACCTCCCTCTCTATTACAGCTCCCCCACTAATATCCAAACTCACACCAGCATTTCCCAGGGGCCCCTCCAACAACTGCCCTGTTCATTTCCCTATTTGTCATCACCACTTCCCTATCACAGTGCTCCTGGGCCAGCCTCATCCCAGACACCTCTCCTGCCAAGGTCACCAACAGTTCTTCATTGGGCCTTGCCTCTAGAGGATATAAATGGACAAGCCCCCCACCCCACTTCTGTGAGATTCACTTTCTCGGCTTGCTTTCTGAATCCCTCTTTCCTGGGTGTCCTCCCAGCCCCCTGCCACTCTTCCACATGCAGACTCCACAAGATTAAGGTTCATCCTTTTTTCTCGAGCTAGACTCTTCCGGTTGCCCTCACCTACTCCCTTAGCTCTAAATGTCACCTGTATGTTAATGACGCCCAAATTTACCTCTCCTAAGTTCCATGTGCATGTCTAGTAGACATCTCAAACCTGATGTGCCTAAAACCAAATTCCCAGCTCCATCTCTCCCATTCTCCACTCCAGCCCTGCTGAGCCTCTTTGTCCCACACCTTCTGCATCTGGCCAAACCGCCTCACAACACACACTCAAGGCAACACTAGGAGTCATCCTGACGTCCTCTGATCCCCACCTCCTCCTGCTGCCACACAGGGAAGCCACTACCCTGTCCCACCAGCTTCGTCCCCCACTTCCCAAATGCACCCACTCCTTTAGTCTCTACTTCTAGCACCTTCACCTGTCTCCTGGCACCTGAAATGGCTTTTGCACCTGTTCTCTATCTATGGCTTATTCTCCACCTAGAGAGAGAAAGAACTGTGAGCAGAGCCTGGGAATCCACACAGAAGGTGCAGCAAAATAGAGAAAGCAGGTAGTTGACCAGAGATGAAGACAGAGCCTACAAAAAGGAAAGGGAGAGGTGCAAAGGAAAAGAATCTTGTTCCAAATGTCATTTCAAAAACCATATTGCAGAGCGATCATCCTCATCCTACATGAAGGTGTGCCTTGAGGATTATTCTGGCCAAGCATGACAACCGTGGGCAGCACCATCCCCCTGGAAGCAAAAGTCATCCCCAATGAAGGATGGAGGTGAGGAGGAGAGGAAAATAATGAGGCAGATGCCCGGTTCTTGAGGAGCATGGACACTGGCTAGGAAACCCGTGGGAGAGGACCTTCCATGACCTTCCATGCTCAGGGTTGCCAAGCCCTGAGATTTCTGCCACATGCAATCTCTCATCTTCCTACAGCTCCTGTTTCATTATAGCACTTGTTTGGGTCCCCAGTGCCTGAGACACCAGGGAACCTCCTCACTGATCCTGCCACCTGCTGCCACCTCCTGTCTTCTCCCATCCTGGACACTGCCCACCAATTAACCTCCATAAGTAAAGGGTTGTTCCAAGGAGGTTACGACCCTGCTCAGAAATCTTCAAAAGCTCCACACAGCCCAATATACACCATCTCCTTCCTCTGCCATTCAAGGCCTGAGTTTTCCAATCAATACACCTTTCCAAATCCATCAATTCCCCCACCTGTTTCTCCCCGCTCCCCCAGGCCCTCTGAATCCCTTGTGTTTCAAGTTCAGCTGGTACTTTTCCTCTGCATTCTTTTGCTCACGGTGTTCTCCTTTCGGAATGCACAGTCCCTCCTCTCCCTGTGCTGAGCTCTTGGAGTGCAGTAAGATAAGAACAGGTTTGAAGTCAGGCTGATCCAGATCTGTATTGGAGTACCTAAGTCCTGGCTCTGTGATGCTGAGCAGGTTATTTGGCTTTTCGGAGTCTCAGTTTCCTCTCCTTTGCAGATGAATAAACATTGCCCCAATGAGAGTAGAAGGCAAGGGAATCTAGGTAATTAGCAGAGTAGCTGCCACAGGGAAGGGGTCAAAGAGGTGGCTATTTGTTTTATTCTTTTCTCTTTTGCTTAATTTCAGATGCACCTTCAAAGCCAACCTTCCCTCTGTTGACCCCCATGTCACACTGCCTCTTCCAGGCTCGTCCTGCATTAGACATCTCTGGACCTGCAGGAACTCCCTGGCTCCTTAAGGGCAGGAACCAGATCTTGCCCTTTTCTGTATGTCCTTCAGCACTCAGCTCAGTTCATGCAGGACTCTATAAATGTTTGTTGAATAAAATTATCTTTAATTCCCCCAGCACACACATGTAATCTCAGTTGTAGTAACTTTTCAAAGCTGTTCACTAATTATACGAGGAGGAAGAGTAAGCAGCACTTGGGGGCAGAGAGATATCATTTCCATCATTTGGATATTACAAAACACATCCCTTACCCAAAACCTATTGCTTCAAATAACACAGTCAATATCACTGATTGATTTAAGAACCTTCCAGAACAGGGATGTGGGTGTGGCTCAGTGGCAGCACTAGCATGTGCGAGGTGCTGGGATGGATCCCTAGCACCCCCTTCCACCACACACACACACACACACACACACACACACACACACACGCATGCACACAAGAACCTTCCAGAACAGAAATACGTTTAGCTCTGACACCATTAAAATGAGTTTTGAGAATCACTTTGACTCACAGAAAACACTGAACGGCATTAAAAACACTGAACGAGAGGACGTTTCTCTTACGGTCAGCTTGCAGAAGGACAACATGATGCAGGGTCAAGGCCATCCTTTGGGAGTCAATGGTGCTCAGGATCTTGGCAGCTGCGGTCCCCAGCAGTGGCTTCCCGTTGTACAGAGTGTAGTAAGTCAGTTCTGCTGGGTCCTTTGGTCCTGGAACACGCTGCATCTTTACCATCTTTCAGAAAAAGAGAGGCCACATGTTTACAGGGCATCTTGCAAGGCTCCTGCAGGCCCCCGGGGCAGTCAGCAGGCTGAGTGGCCCCACACCCTACATGTTACACAGCCACCTTTGTTACCTCCCCACAGCCAGCGCCTCAAGAAGTCTGCTAACGCAGGAGCGGGAGACTGGGAGGAGAAGGAAGATGTGAACATCTGGAAAGAACAGTTTGAAGCTGGAGATGAAAACATGCGATAGCGATGTTTCCCAGCCCCCACAGAGCTCTGGCCTCATTAGAAAGTAGGACTTCACGTTAATTCAGGGCACGCTAGGTTGTTCTCAGACAAGATTTTTAATTTCAAATATCTGCAATTGCCAGAAAGAAAAGAAAATTGACCTATAAGTCTGCATTCCAAGCTATCTTTGATAAAAGCAATTCTTGACAACACTAAATTCATTTTCTAAAATGATATATTTTTTTGCTTTTCTTTACTCTGAAAGTGATGCATACTCAATACAGAAAAATTTGAAAATATGGAGAAAGCATTAACGAGTGTAATAAAAATGATCTATAATCCCTCCTCTACCCACTAATTACTGTGATCATTTTGGAGTATTTGCTTCTAGTCTTTATTTCCACACAAACCTTTTCTGTGTTATTTTACAAATTATTAATCATACTCCCTATATCATGTGCCACTATGTTTTACTTCCATTATTAAGTGACATGAAATATTTCAAGAACTTAAATGTTTATTTCTGCACAGCATCTCAAATGCCTAACTCATAAACTTATTTCACAAAGCCCTTATTATTAATAATTTAGATTATTATTACTTTTCTATTCATGTAATTAGCAATTGATAATCAAAAGTACAAAAACATGAATTTTAATGCTTGTATAATGTTCTACTGTATGCATGCCTGGTAAACTTAACTAACCATTTATTAGTGCACATTTAGGTTATTAACTTCTGCCCGGATAACTTACGATGGATAAACATTAAACTGAAGCATAGTATTTTCCAAAGTATATTCTATATATCTTGAATTTTGTAAAGTATTAAAGGATAGTGCAAAATTCTCAGAGCAGCTTTCATCATAATAGTGAACACACTGAAAATTCAAAAATCACTAGTAGACTAGATAAATGAGTTATGGTAGAGCAACCTAATGAAATACTATAGATCAGTGAAAATGAATGAACTGTGGCTATTGGCATCAATGTAGATGAATATAGAAGCCTGATATTGGGTGACAGAGACAAATCACAGAACATAAAATTCAAAACAGGCAAACCACATGATACACTATTTAAGGATACACACATGGATGGTAAAATCTATACAGGAAATACAGGAATGATTTAATATGGAATCCAGAATCATGCTTTACTCCAATAGGAGGGAAGAGAGTATCATCAAAGACACATAAAACCCTTCCGGAGTAAGAAAGGGTAATGATCTGACCCTTTGGGTTCTAACTTCTTTTCATTAGTATACTTTAAACTCTGATTTTTTTACATTCTTCTGAACATAGACTCTATATAAAGATTCAAAAATGGACATTATTACAGCCCAATAAAAATGGGCAAAAACATCTGATCTGACACTTCTCAAAGGAAGATATCTGAATACCCAATAAGCACATAAAAATGCTCAATGGGGAAATTAAAATTAAAAGTATGAAACACTACTATCTACCTACTAGGATGGCTAAAATAAGGACTGACAATACCAAGTGTTGATGAACATATGAAGCAACTGGAACTCCATGCCTGGTTGGCAGGTATGTAAAATGGTACCACCACTTTGGAAAAAGGTCTGGTAGTTTCTTATAGAACTACTGTATAACAAACCCCGTGAACCATAAATTCCACTCCTATTAACCCAAGCGAAATGAAAATGTGTGACCACAACAAATGTATAGAAGAACATTAGCAATAACCTCATTTAATAGCTACAAACTAGAAAAAGACCAGGTATCTATCAACAAAAGAACATATAAGCAATGGTTACATTCACACAAGAGAATATATTTCAGCTATTCTCAGCTACTGGAATCAATGTAGATGAATATAGAAGCCTGATATTACAACATGTGTAAATGTTAAAAGATGACCTTCCTTCATGACCCCGGAGATTTAGATAACTAGAATTTAAAGGTATTCCTTTAGTATATTTGATATTGCAACTTGTATAAATCTCAAAAAACAGTATATAATACTCAGTCAAAAAAGTTTTATACAAAAGTAATACACTATACAATTCCATATGTATGAAACGCAAGAACTTCAAAAACAATCTGTGATTTGGATTTTATGGAAACGTGTGTTGTGGAAAGTACGTGGAAGTATATGGAAACGATATATGTTATCAAATATAAAATGGAAACAGTATAAGATTAATCGTAGAACCTCTATAATGAGTATAGGAGTGTTCACTGTATAATTTTTTCAACTTTTGCTGTGAGTTTGAAAAAGAGTTCATAAAACAGATATTATGCAAATTAAGGGTTTTACTGACAGGTTAAATTTAGAAATCAGTATGTTGAACAGAATTAAGGAGATTAAAGAGATTCCCCCCCCTTTTTTTAAAGAGTTTGGGAATGCAAATATACTTTGGGAATCTTCAAGAAGGAGTTATAAGATGCAGTCTTGCAGTGTTGCTCAGACCATTCTAGCTAACGGGCCCCTCTGCCTCTATTTAGCTTAAAGAACTATTTTCTAGATACTCCCTGGAAAACATTGCCCTCACTTTTTTGTCTTTGTGTTCACCTTTACCTTCTTGAGATAAATTTCTGGGAGTTAGCTAAAGATATCTAGAAGTCTGTGACTCACTTGCCTCCAGGAATTTCATACCAGTTTCTCTGTGTGGAAGTGCCCGTGTCACTGTGTCCTCACCCATGCTGGATAGGACATTTTACTAACCTTTGGTAGATAAGAATGACATCTAAATGGTAGTTAAGGCCTGCATGACTTTGATTACAGATGGAGTCAAACATTTAAAAGTGTTTACAGGTTATATGGTTTCTTCTTAGGATCCAATTTTTTCCCAATATATGAACTAGAGGAATACCTTTAAATTCTAGATATCTAAATCTCCATGTTCATGAAGGAAGGTCATCTTTTAAAATTCTCTGAGTACAGAAGAAAGTCCTCTGAGTTGGATGATTGAAGCAATTTAGAGTAAATGCTGGGAGGGAAACTTGGGCATGCTTTTCCTTTCCCGATAGGTGGAGAAGTTAGTGCAACCACATAGAGGTGAATGATCATTCAGATATCTACGAACGTCACTCAATTTCTTCTACCCAGGGTTTCGGGGTGATGTCAGAGGATCTGCAGAAACAAACCCCTACTTGCCTCACACTGACTTCGTGGGCAGCTATAGGATCAAGAGCACTGTGCACTTGAGAAAAGTGAGAGAAAATACCTTTGGAGCCCTTCTAGACATGCAGAATGTGTTAGGTTTCTTAGGATTACAAATGACACCAGGACTGTTGTGTGGTCCTTTTCTCCCCCTTTGGCTGATAACAAATCTCGTGCACAGACATCCGACCTCCTGTCTGCCATCTGGAGAAGTGTGGATTATAGGGCTTATTCTATGGAACCTACAGAGGGAAAATCACAAACCCAGCATGTGAAATTAACTGTCCCTTTACTTTGTGATGAGGTCGTCACAGACCACAAAGATTTTCAGAACCAAAGCAGCAACCAATAAGACAAGGAGCCAGATTCCCAACTGTGAATAAGGGGACGTGGCTTGGTGTCAGGGGCATGATGCTGACTCACACAGGGAGAGAAGATGGGTTGCTTAACTTTTATGCTTGCACGGGGATGTGATCTGCAGGCGGACTGTGAAGGTGTCTGCAATTTCCTTCAAGACTTTCCTCATCGTGTGACACTAGGCAAGTGGGCTAGATGAGGTCAATTATCAATCAGGAGGTCACCTGCCAGGGGCAGCCTGGGAAATTCCAATTAGGGAGGCCCACGTGTACAGAGGCACTTCTATAATTTGATATCATGCTCAGCATGATAATTTTAGTTAATTAGCACAACAGATGTTAGAAATGGGATCTCATTGGTGAAGTCAGGAGTATTCAAGATATGTGGATGGGTTAGAATATGCTAGAGACACTCCCACTCCTGTGGGAACTGGGTATCTAGGGAGGCTTAGAAACATTGCCCTTGGGCATGGCTACTGCCTTGAACAGACCCCCACAGAGGAGTTTCATGCTCTTAGTTTATCTGAGAGGTGCAGGAAACTGACAGGAGGGTGAAGAAGTGATGCATGGATGGGGAAAAGAGTCCATGACACAGTGGGTGACTAAAGCTTTCTTCTGTGGGAAAACTCTGGAAATGAAGAAACATTTCAGAATTCCCCTCGCTAAGAGGTGAGGGAGCTGGGGTATGTGTACTCCCACCACTGTCTAATTCCCACGCACTTCAGCCATCATGGCCTGGGCAGGCGGGTTCCAGCATCCCAAGTGCATCCCTGCAGTGGAGTTCCGCGGCTGGCTGTTGAAATTCCGGCAGGCATACTTACTGATGGTAAGAGGGAGTGAGGGCAACCCTAGAGCCTGCTCCATCTCTTGCCTAAATCACTCTGTGCTCAAGTCTTCACTGTCAGTTTGGTGGGTTCTATTTTTTAATTGACGAATACAGACGATGAAACTTCATTTCAGAAATAGCTCCATGTATGCAGACTTTGTTCTGAGATCTCCTTCCCTCCTAACCTAGCTATTCGACAATGTAGGAGGATGTTCATGAGCCTCAACTCCACCAAACCTCAGAGTAAATGGCCCAGCTGGTGGCAGTGTGGATGTCCTCTGTACAGCCCAGGAAGCACAGTCCCTCTCAGTTCTCCCACACCTACCTGCACAGTGTAGCTTCCCAGGGTGGTAGCCCGTTTAAATCGCCGGCCTTGTTGCTGGGACATCATGAAGAGCTGGGCCAGGCGTTGCTCCATAACCCGGGCAAAACTCTGGTTGTAGAGGCCCACCAGCGAGTTGTCCACGCCCTGCAGCACTGTGGAGGCAGAAGGCAGAGGGGGTGCTCAGAGGACAGACGCCCTGCTGACCGGGGACCACAACCACCATCTGCCCTAGACAGCCCTAAGGGTCACTCTGCTCTACCTCATCCTTACCTCACTTCACCCTCACAGCAGCCCAGGAGTTAGGAATCACAATCCACCTCTTATAGATGTTGAAAAGTTTAATTGACTTGTCTAAGTCTGCACAGCTTATAATTAGCAGCCCTGACTCCAAATCCTGGGTTCTTTCTTCCAGTAGCAGTGACCTCTCTTACAGGGCTCTGTCAAACCCAGACTTCATTTAAGATGACATGTATTGCTAAGAGTCCCCCATATGGGAACACATCAGATCTGCAGGTCAGTGACTTGGGTTGGGAGCTGGTTCCTACTCAGAAGCCGTGGCTCAGGGCTACCTTGATGTTTTCTCTCTCAACAGCTTTGCTGAGGAATCTCAACTCCATCCTGCAACTCAGCCCCTTACATCTGGGCAAACCACACATTAAGTACCCTCATCTGTCTCTCTTCCGCAGTGTCTTGATGATGACCGCCCCTATAGCTACCTAGAGTCTCCCAGGTCCTCTCCCACCTAAAGAGTAGGACAACTTAATGGAAAGAATAAACTCTCTATACTGGCTCTTGCCAGTTGTGTGGCCCTTGGCAAGCTACTGGCCATCTCTAAGGCCAAGTCTTTCTCTGTAAAAAATGGAATAAGAAAGTGTACATTTCAGTGAACATATTCCTAGTGGACTTTGAGGTTTTAAAAAAAAGGATTTTTTTTTTTTTTTAAGGTGGGTTCCTTCGTCCATGGCTAGGTTTTGGTAATGTCCAGTATCTATCATCAACATGTAGGTGTTGACAGGGGAGTTCCAGGTCATGGGTAGTACATGGAGGGGGTGTTAATAAGCACTAGGCCTGGGGCTGGGGTTGTGGCTCAGCGGTAGAGCACTTGCCTAGCACGTTGGAGGCACTGGGTTCCATCCTCAGCATCACGTAAAAATTAATTAATTAATTAAGTTATTAAAAAATTAACACTAAGCCTCTCTAGGACTGCTGAGGCCACGTCCCCAATCTAGTCTCTGCTCCATGTCCCTTTGGAAGCACACTTCACCTCAGATGAACGACTGCGGCCTTCAAACAGCCACACCAAAACTTCCAAGTACTAAAAATACGATCACTTTCTTAAGAGACCAAAACTGACAAGGGCTGGGAATGTAACCGAAGAGCTTCATTTAACAGAGTTCATTTGACCACAGTTGTGGCCAAGCATGGTTAACACCGCCCGTCCACCAAGGTACGGAAATAGCTTGTATATAAAAAGGGTGTTGTTATTATGGCACCCAGGACAGCAGGGTGCTGCCAGGGCCCACCCCAAGGATCACATCCTACATGGGGCCAGACAACGCAGTCAACCACAACAACACACACAATAACAAGACGCAGAGCGTGAAGCTGCAAGGGATCAAGAGAGAAATAAACCCGCCGCTAGGTCTCCAAAATTACTTCTTTGAAGCCATAAATGCCAAATAATCCCCCCGGACGGTGCACGGCAGCTCTCTTTCTAGGGCCCTTGTGAGAGACTCCAGCTCTTCTGTCAGCTGAATTCCCGCACAGGCAAAACTGCTCCGCTGTGTGACTGAGGGCCCCAAGAGGACTCTCAGGATTCCTTGGGTGCTTCCTACCTGGGGGACGGGAACTTTCTGGTCCAAAGGTAGTTCATCTAGTAAAATCACAGATCAAACTGCTGGAGTCTTACTCCTACGTTGGCCTCCCTTGATCAGTGGATGAGAGTGAGAGAGGGGACCCCTTTCGGATTATTTATGGAACTTTCAGCCAAGACTCAAAGGCAGACATTAAATAAAGGCAAGAGTAGAAGACCCCAAGGTGATGACAAAGTCCGAGAAATGGAGACTGTGATGTCTGTTCAATACTGAATATTTCTTATGCCGCTGAATTATACACTTAAAGAGGTTAAAATAGTTATTTTATACTAAAAAATTGAAAATGCCTCTAAGGAGCACAGGAGGCTGTGGGAGCCACCCGCAGAGGTCCAGAAGTCAACACCTGGACGGTTCCCCCATGGTTCATGCCAGCTCCCCTAAAAAAGAACAGGTTCTTCTTGGGGGAGCAGCTGGGAGGGCTGAGGAGTTGCATGCAGAGGCTTGAGTTTGAGTCCTGGCTCCCCCTTCTGAGTGTTCTTGGGTATGTCACTTGGTTCCTCTGGGCCTTAGTCCCTCATCTGAACACCTTAGGATTGAATCTTTGTGAAGCGCAGATGATTCTTCTAACACAGTGCTCTAAGGCACTTGCCTGCGTGCGTGTGAATAAGTGGTAGCTATGGCCTTTGTCACAATGGGCCCCTTCTCATTATTACAGGAAGAAATAAAGTGAGAAGACTGGAACTATATGGCTCCTCTCCCTTCCCCTGAGGAGTGTGGCAGGCCTGGGGCCTCTGGGCCTCTCCGTCCACCCTGTGGGCAGTGGACAGGGAGGTGCGCCCCCCTTTCTCAGGGTGACACAGAAGCTCAGACACCTCAGCACCTCCGCCAGACCCCCGGCCACCCACTTCAGCCCCCACCACTGACTCAGCCTAGGGCAGGCAGGCAGGTCCCTCGCTATGTTCAAAGGAACTCCATCCAGAAGATTCCATGACTTTCACATCACCGTTCTCTTACTCCTTTATTTACAATCATACCAGGCTCTAAGATTCACACAACCAGGCCCGGTTCAGCCTCCTGTGCTCAAGTTGAATTATTTTATTTGTGGTTGAACAAAGATTCTTCATGATCGGCTGAGACCTCTCCCTCATCCTCAAGGTGAGAGTGTGCAGCACAGAGGGCCCGGGTGACTTGCTCAAGGACACCAGGGTAACTAAGAGCAGAACTGGAGAACTGATCCATCCCTTCCTGGGTCTTGTTCATTTTGCTTCTGGAGTGAATTAAAGAGATGAATCAGCTTGAGATGGAATCTTACTTCTGTTAGGTAGCAATATCGAGCTGGATCTTTCTATTTTGCCTCATATACACAAACCGAACTTGGGTCCCTGGAGGGCAGAGTAGCCCCTGTGTTCTCTGTAAAGGAACTGCAGGGTCATCCTCAGCCAATGACTTTCCATCGAGGAGGGATTCACCCTCTGGGAGAGAAGTGTACAGTGTGCAAAGACATATTCAATATAAGTTTAGTTGGGAAACATGTCAGGGTTTTAAAATATAAAAAACAGAAAGGGGACTTGCGGCTATTAGCATCAGTGGAAGACACGGCACCTATAATGCCCTGGAGGAAAGGCTAAAAAGTTCCCTCATCTCTCAGCTCCCAGTCTCCTTCCCCTTCTGTTGGTGATGGGCAGATTGGAGGTGGACACCCAGGTATTCAGAAAGTGGTCCTGGGTGGAAGGAAAGGCCGAAGGCCAGGCTGAAACCAGGCTCCAGCCCTTCCCAAGCACAAACCAACTGATCCAACCAGCCCCAAACACAGTGATAGTGACAGCTCTATTCTGATCACCAACTGCAAAAATAGCAAAACGGAAAGAGGGTCGTCGCATAGTGGGCGGGCAGGGGGATGACCCAGGAGAGCCCTGGAAGCAGGACATTGCTGGTGGTGGTAGGGCTTCCTCTTAATGTCATGGCACTCAAATCAAGGCAGAGCAAACACAGCGAGAGGAGGAAAGGGTGATGCAGGTGGCTGTCAAGGACAGGCCGCGGTCAAGAGTGGCTGCGTTATCACCCAAGGCAAACCTTCAAGTTCAGAGAAGGGGGAAATAGCTGCCCATGAAAAGGCACCATTCCTTGAGGAGGAAACACAGTTTTGCAAATGTTACATAACCTCCCGGTTCCAAAACTGTGTCGCTGGGTTAGCACTGTCTCTCTCGTGGGCATAAACCCCGATGGGTGGGTTTTTAATTTTCTTTTAAGACATGTCTTTTTAGTTTGCCTTCTATTTTACCAGGTGAAATAATCTGTATATTGAAGGCTCTGTGTGCGTGGTGGGGAGAATTTTCTGAAGTTTAGAAGGGGTCTTGAGTAGGCCACATCCAGCAGGGACAGGTGCCCCTTAGCTGGTATTTTAGGAACAGCCCAACTGCAGCTAGTGTGGGACAATAGTGTGCAGGGGACTTTGAGAACAGCCTCCTCCCCTAGACGTGGCTTCCAAGCCTTGCAGGAGATTCTCCTGGGCTGAACTGTGTTCCCCAAATTCACATGTTGAAGTCCAAACCCAGGTAACTCAGAATGCAACTGCACCTGGAGAGAAAGTCTTTAAAGAGGTAATGAGGTTAAAATGAGGTCATGGAGTGGGCCCTAACCCAGCATGTCTGGTGTCCTTATATGAAGAGGAAATTAGGGCACCGGCAGAGGGAGAACCAAGGCCTCAGAAGAAACCATCGCTGCCAACATGGATCTCAGACTTGGAGCCCGCAGAACTGTGAGACGACAAACGCCTGCTATCTAAGCCCCCAGCCTGCCGTGCTTTGCCGTGGCAGCCGCAGCACACCCAGATTCTTCTCTCCACACTTCTCCCCTGGATGATTGGGCAGGTCACTCTACCTCCTACAAACATCTGCTCTCTCCTTTTGCTCTCAATTCTGGTTTCCCTCATTTTCAGAAGGCACTGTCTGGCTTTTGAAAAACATAAATGGAACGTTGTGGCTGTTTCATAAAGTTCAGCTGCAAAATGTCAAGGTTAAAAAAGAAAAAAAAAGGACACATCACCCCAACACCCTACGCTTCCACACGCCCTCACTGTCAGGGTGTGCCAGGACGGGTGTGGGGTGGGACTCCCACTGGGCAGGAGGAGCATCCAGCCCTCCTCTGATTTTATTTTAGGTTTTACAAGGCAGTGCAGAAAGAACTACCATCTGTACACACAGGGCCATTCACAAGGACGTGTCCTAGGCATCCACAAGGTAACTTCTGATAGGTGGAGTTTTTGCAAAGAGGAAGCACTGGGGTTGGAGGGGGGCTTCCAAGGTAACAGTTTTAAAATGTTCAATAATCACCATCAGTGTGAGGGCTTCCCTTGGCTTGTTTCCACACACTTCTGGTCCTGGAGAAATAACTCCTTGACATATAAGACAGGACCAAAAAAAAAAAAAAAAGACCAATCCTTTCACTGAAAAAAAAAAAATCAAACAAATCAACCCCACGGCATGAAGAGGGGGCGTAACAGAATGAGAGATTACCTGTAATCACCCAGTAGTCTCTAGTTGTTTCTGATGTATCAAGGTTGGGATATTCCAGTGCTAAAACCAACAGGAAACACACTGAATTACTTTTATAGGTTTTACATGTAAATATAAAACAGAGAACTGACTTGCTGTTCAGAAAATGAAAAGTCTCCGTTAAAGGTGAACTTTCCTATAAAAAGTGTTTAGGGCTTCTTGAGTTTCTGCTCTTTCAGGTTTTCCATCCAAACCTTCTCCAATGGAAAGTCTTCATTATCAAGAGCCGCAGCTGCCACCTGTGTTAGCTGGTGTTTGCTCTTTAAAAACCATCCAGCCATCAACAAAGTCATCAGGAACTGTTATATCTTGAATGGATTTTTTTCCAATGCCAAAAACTTACATAGTAGCCAAGTGCTTGTAACAAAAGTTCTCCTGCTACTTTACCAGTATCATGACTATCAGAGTTAACAGGTGGAAAAGAATCAGTACAGTGTCTGGTATATAGTTCATGCTCAATAAATCTTAGCTGTGGTTTTATGAGAATATAAAAAGAATGAGAGAAAGCAAATTTTCACATGCTTCCATGTGACAGAATGTCACCTTTTACATCGTCTTTTCCCATAAAATGCATCTTTCCTCACCACATGGAAGCTTGCAGAAGCTCACCAAATATATATTAAATATTCAAAACTAATCTCAGTGGCTACTATGTGCTAAGTACATCACCTACACATTATCTCATTTATTTATAGCCTCAGAAACAACAGTAGAAGGAACTTATGAAACAATTTATGTGTTTACCGAAAAACTTGCCCACTGACCCTGTGAAACGTAAGAGTGATTTAAATTTAGGAATACAAACCTTTATTTCCTTTGACTCCTGAGTAAGTGTTCCGGTACAGAATGTAGGCTGCATTGTTGATGATGCCTGCTGCATGGTAATGAGGATTACGTAACTGAAGAATTAAGGGAGGTGAGGCCACAGACTATGGAGATTTCATCACAACGTTGACTACAAATGGGCTGCATTATGATATCTATAGCCAGGGCAGAGCCTGAAGTTCCGGGAACATTTGTTAACGGCAGAAGTGGGAGAAATGCCTAGAAACCTAGTTTGCTCAAGGACAGCTGTCCTTGCAGGCAGTATGATAAAGTCAGAAGGCAGACTGCCAGGGTTCAAACCCAAGTGACAGCTCTCACCAGCTATGGGAGAGTAGGTATCTTGTGAGACTTCTTGGAACTTCAGTTTCTTCTTCTAATTTTGCTCTGGCCTTATAGGATGGTTTTGAGAACTCAATGAGACAAGAGACTTGTGCAACATACTTTTCATCAATTCAGACTCCATTTATTGCACGTTTGGGTGGTTCTTTTATGACAGTAAGGGTAGCATGTGGTCTGGCACAAGAGAGGTTCGTGGAATGGAGAAAGGCTCCAGAGAAGCAACAGGGCCCCTGGAGGTGACGTGATGTACTCACGTTCAGCAATGGTGAGCGGTGGGTAGGTGAGGTAGAATCCCACCAGCTCGGCTGAGAGCTGGCTCAGGAGACTGCTGGCCACCGTGCCATTGAGGAATGTGCTCTGATTGCCCACGACGTACACCAAGGTGACGGCCTGCGAGGCGTTGGACGTGCTCACAATCTGAATTGACACAGGAGGAAAAGGGAGGGAGACGTGCAGATAAGATGAGGGTCTGTTTCCAGGAGGCCGTGGAGGGGGAGTTTAAGCAGAAGGTCAGGGTAGGAATGAGAGGGAGGAGGGAAAACAGCAAGAAGAGACAAGAATAACAACCATCATCGACAGTGATTGCTGGCTGCACGCCGGGCATTGTGCCGAGGGAGCATCGGTTCCTTTCATCCTCGCCACAACCTTACAGATGAGGAAACCGAGGCCCAGAATGGCCAAGGGATTTGCCCGGGGTCCCACAGCTCAAAAGTGACAAAGTCAAGATTCAAACCCAGGAAATCTGACTTCAGACTCTTAATGAGTGTGGTTATCGTTCCTGGGGGCTAATTTGTCTCATCTATAAGAAATTGACTTTTATGATTCTGGAAATATAAAGCAGAAGATAAGAATGTTAAATATAAGGAAGACACAACTGCTCAGACAGGGAAAGCTAGAGCCAAATTTGCAGAGTTTTAAGTCTGAAAGGACCAGGAAGGCACGGTGTTACAGAGCGAGTCACCAACGTTATCATGGCACAACAGACTTGATTCAGAATTGAGAGCAATTACATCTCCTTGTGATCTACTAATTCAATATCGAACATTTTTAAAATCCTGAGATGGCATGGTTTTCTTTTCATATTTTGTCCAATTCAGTTTTTTGGTTGCTGGAAAAATGAACTTTTCTAGGTCAATGTATGGACAAAAATATCCCCAGATGAGATTTGAAAAATACACGCAGGGGAAGTCATTCGATTCGCTGAGACATTTTTTTTTGCTGGGTTCTGTGCAGTCCCTCCCCCTCCAGAGCCATTTTTGCCACCCATCTGTCTGTCCTGATCATGTCCCCAGGGCAGACCCTTGTGGACCACCTCATGGGCTCCTGTGCCTGCTGGCTTCAGCTAATGGGGGCTTGGGCCAGTGGGCCAATCGACACCTGGACTTTCTCAGACCTTTGTGCTAAGACAACATCCCTCTCAAACTTGACCCTGAAGAAGGCTGCTGAGATGAGTTTCTGCACTTTACCTCCCACTTTTTCCCACACTTGAAGTTCTCTTTCAATTCTCTAACCCAGAGCCATATTCCCACAATTAAAGATAAATTGAGGAGGCGCGGTGGGCACGGTAGGCTGAGGCAGGAGGATCATGAGTTCAGAGTCAGCCTCAGCCAAAAAAGCGAGGCACTAAACAACTCAGTGAGACCCTATTTCTAAATAAAATATAAAATAGGGCTGGGGATGTGGCTCAGTGGTTGAGTGGCCCTGACTTCAGTCCCTAGTACCAAAAGAAAAGAAAAAGATAAATCAAGTCAACATTTCTGCTAGAATGTGGCTTATTGACCCAAGTATTCAGGCCTCTGTCCAAGGTACCAAAAAGTAAAAGAATTTATCCATTCAGCTCTTGATGGACACCTGTGTTGCTTCTACCTTTTGGCTGTTGTGAACAATACTGCTATGAATACAGGTGTACAAAGAACTATTTGACTCCCTGCTGTCAATTCTTTTTAATACATACATGCAGCAATGGGCTTTCTGGATCACAAGACAATACTATGTCTAATTTTTAAAGGATTCACCATTTGGTTTTCCACAGTGGCTGTACCCTATGTATATTTTCACTAGCAATGCACAAGGGGTCCAATTTCTCCCCATCCTCACCAACATGTAATATTTTCTTGTTTTTTAGAATGATCATCCTAACCAATGTGAAGAGAAGCTCATGGTTTTGCTTTACATTTCTTTAATGGTTAATGAGGTGGGCCATCTTCTTAAGTGCTTACTGGCTATCTATATATCTTTTTTTGGAGAAATATCTATTCAACTCCTTTCTCATTTCTAATTGAATTGTTTGGGCTTTTTTATTGTTGGGTTGGTGGAGTTCTTTACATGCTTACATGTCCTGGATATTAACCACTTATCAGATATATGATTTGCAAATATTTTTACCTATTCGGTGGGTTCTCTTTTCACTCTGTAGGTAGTGTCTTTTGATGGACAAAGTTTTTAACTGATGAAGACTGATTTATTTATTGTTTCTCCTGTTGCCTGTGCTTTTGATGACATATCCAACAAATTGCCAAATACAGTGTCATGAAGTTTTTCCTCTGAGTCCTACAGTTTTAGGTTTTCTAGTGAGGTCTTTGATCCACTTTGAGTCAATTTGGGGAGATGATAGGTTAGGATTCAGCTTCATACCTTTGCATGTGGAAATCTAGTTTTCCCAACTTGTTAAATGGACTAACCTTTCCCCCACTGAATAGTCCTGGCACCCTTGTCAATGATAATTTGAGCATATACAAGAGGATTTATTTCTGAGCTCTGCTTTATTCTGTTGGTCTCTGTTTGTCTCTATGCTGGAACCATGTTTTTTGGAGTAGCATAGCTTTTTGATTTCTGTTTTGAAATTAAAAGTTGTGAAACCTCCAAACTTTGTCCTCTTTGAAGATTCCTTTGGCTATTCAAGGTCTCTCGAAATTCCACTTGAATTTTAGGATGAGTTTCTCTATTTCTGCAAATAAAAGATCACTGGGATTTTGATAGGGATTACATCAAATCTATAGATCCCCTGGGTAATACTGACATCAATTTTTAGATTCCCAATCCATGAACATAGGATGCCTTTCCATTTATTTGATCTTCTTGAATACACTCACTTTTTATAACCAAGAAAATAGTGACCATTCTTGGTAGCTACACAAGCTCCAAAAAAAAGAGGTCCATAGGTCTGAGACCAAAGCCACAACACTGGTCCCTGAGAGTCATGCCTGTCCTTAAATAGAAGCAGCTCTTGCAGGGGACACTTTCCTATCACATCTTTACTCTCAGGTGCCTGTAGCTCCTGACCTGGTCTCTGACTTCTCACTCACTCACACAACAATTCATTTAGCTAATTAGTCCTTCAGGCTGATGGAGCCGAGAACTGTTGTTCTGGCTGCCCAGCACCCATTCTCCCTTCTTCTAGGACAGCACCACAATACCCTTTGGGAACCACCTCTCCTCTCCTCTCTGTCCATGTGCTTTGGATGGGGCTGCCCCACCCAGGCTCCAGGAGTGGGCATCTGAGCCAGGCCTGGTTGATTGGGACATTTCATCTCCTTGGCCACAGTCACGGATTCAGAAATGAACACCGTGGATCCAAGGAGAACCAATCCCAGAGGTTTGACTGAAATGACACCAAAAATGGTACTTTGCTACCACAAGACTATAAGCAGTAAGGATGAGGCACCAGAGGCCACCAGACAGAACCAGAGAAAAACAAGCCAAGAGATGAAGAGAGAACATCATGAAGAAATCACTGCAGCACCTGGATTTAGTTGTGCCTAAAGTAATTAAGCTGTGAACTTTTCAGCTGTGTGAGCTAATTGCTTCCTCTTTTTTTTTTTTTGGCCTTATAAGCTTGGATTCTGTCACAAACAAAGCAGTCATAATTGAATCAACTGCAATCTAGCCCATAATACCAAAGCTAGACAAAATTTAAAAGTCATCTTTTCAGTGACTCTTAATTAAATATTTACATGATCATATTCCATAAAAGATTCAAGGTACCTTGCACATTTTATTTAATACAAGAAAATGGAAAGTTATTCATTACAAAAGCACATCCTAGAAAAACAGATAAAAAGACAGGGATGTGGTTAGCATGTACTTATCTATGCGTGACATAGGGACAAGAGGGTTGCTGAAGTTATACAACAGATTTGGTTCTGGGTTACCTCTCATCCAAGGCAAAAAGCAAAATAGTTAATAAAATGATTGATTTGATTACCCATTAATTTAAATAGTTTTCAAAATGTTCAAGAGCATCTAAAATCTATTAGATGCAATGTTCAAATCACTGTTATAGTCTTTTCCAAGGAAGCTTTGTTAGTTGGTTGACAAAATTTCATCTAATGGTGCATAATTAGTACCTAACAACACAAGAGAGGCTTCTTAAGGCCAAGGGCAGCTTATTTATCTTGGTGTCCCTCACAGTGATTGATAAATAGCAAGCACTCAATAAGTCTGTGCTTCCTGAATACAATTAAAGTATGCTCTGCTGCCAAGATCTAACTAGGCTCATGCACCTGTGAGAATCACAAATCCAATCAGAAAGAAAAAGCATCCCCACAAGACAGCTGAGTCACACTCCTTACATAAATCTTAAGTCTCTGACATATTTTTAGATCCTAGTCTAATATGAACTAAATCATAATGAGACACTTCCCTATACACTTTGGATGAAACTAGCAAAAGAAAGCTGCTCACTCAAATTAAATTGTATGCTTTCTACATCATATTGGCTTTGCTGATAATTCACTTATGCTAAATGTCAATTTCAAAAGCTCTGGGTCTAATTGCAAAGGCTTTAGTCAGTAGTCAAAACAGAGACATTGAACAGTAGAGTTAATTAGAGAAATTTGGGGGGTGGATGAATATCATTAAGAAGCATCTGTCCTTAGTGGGATGATATCTATGTAATTGAAGAAACTGGGTCTGAAAAAGGATGTCAGTGGTTTGTGCACTGTTATCCAGGAAGCCGAAATACATGGTGTACCAGGAGGGGGATTTCCCTGGGAAAGAATTCATGTGTTT